CCGCCCAAAGACCCAGAACAAGCGTCCTGAGATTCCTCCGCTCTCAGCCAGTCCGTGGCATGTTGGTCATGTATGTTGATGGTGGGAATGGCTGTTCACGCACGCGCGTTCTCACCGACATCTGGGGAAAACAGGTTGTGCACACTTGTGGATTTTCCCGTGCACTGGCGCTCCACTCAGACTGAGACCCACCCGACGTTCTCCCGCACTTAATTGTTTATTTAGTTCGTGAGCTGTTGGAAGAGATAAAAGAAGAACAAGATGCAAAAGAAGAAGAAGAAGCGAAAGAAGAAGAAAAGAGATGAAATAGAAGATGCAAAAGAAGATGATGAAGGAGCGAAAGAAGAAGAAGAAGAAGAAGAAGAAGAAGAAGAAGAAGAAGAAGAAGAAGAAGAAGAAGAAGAAGAAAACTGGGGGGAGGGGGAGGAGGAGGAGGAGAAGGAAGGGGAGAGACTGTAGAAAAAGAAGAAGAAGAACAATGACAAGAAAAACAAGAACAAAAAGGACAACCAGCAGCAGCTCGCGCAGCCTTATAGAGAAGTGTAAAGTTTCACAGAGAGAGAGACATCCTTGTTTCATGTGCACACATATCTCTGTAGTTTTTAAACATCTCTCTGGTATGGCGAGCCTGATGGGGGAAAACTAGTAGCGGAGAGAGCTAGATGGTTCGCGGCGTTCGTTCAGACGTCAGACGTCATGTTCTGTTTTCACTTCTCCCACATTTTTGCCGTTCGTCTTGTCTTTTTATGGTGTTTTCACCGTCCCTGAAATAGCGGGTGGTTGGAGGACGCCCTGTTTGGGTAATTCTTTTATTTTTCTCTCACTCTACAGTTTTTGTCTGTCCGTCTTACTTTTCCCCCAGCGATAGATTGCTGTTATCGGATGGACGTGTTTTGAACTTAAAAGTTTACGAAATTGTAAATAAATGAAAGCACTGTTTAGCGAGGAGCGTGTTGCGTAAATATATTTTTTAAAGCTATAAAAAAACTCTGACTCTGACGGAAGGAATTTGTCGGGGTTTCATGCCCTAGGATCTTTGAAGCAACCCACTCCCCACTTCAGCAGATTAGGAGGTATAGTTGTAAATAAGTGTCTCGCATTCTTTAGTGGTACTGTTCTCGTGTCGTTATGTTTTTTATTTTGGGTTATTGTTTTTTTCATTTCCAAGGCTTATTGTGTGTCAAGGGTATTATGCTATTTTGGAAGGAGCATTAAAAATGTACCCCCACAAAACCTAAGACCAAGGGTATTGTTTTAGATTTCACTTGTAACGCGGACCTCCTACCGTTATGACATTCCACTTCGGAATGTGGGTGGTTGACGGGTGCTCTGGTGTGGTTTATATTTACTCCTTCTTTCCTATCAAATATCTATCTTCTATATATCTCCTCCTCCTATATTTGTGCTTTTTTTTTGGGTAAGTGTTTTACGGCGCTCGCAACTGCATAAGGTCATATGAGCGCGCGGGACACATTAAACATTTTCAGTTGATAGGAAATTTTGAATTTTGTCCTGCTGGCGGCCGAAGCCTCTTTTTATCGATTTTAGACCACCAAGGGATCTTTAACATGAGCAACTTGCACACGGGACCTCCGAGATTTTTCTCCCTTGTCCGAGAAGGCCATGTGTAAATCTTTCCTACCAGAAGGTCCGGGGTGTGTGGCTGAAAGACAGCGGTAAGAAGGAACCAAGGAGTAGCAGTAAAAGGCTGCAGAAAGAGTTAGAAGCCCATAGGAGGGAGCAAAGGAGGTGAAGGGATGGGGGCAGAAAGTGAAGATGAAAGCAGACAACAGAACATTGCAAGAGAACAGGAAAGGAGGTGAAAGGAGACAATTTTTCGGTCGCTACCCGGATTCGAACGCGAGACGTTTGAATGAGAGGCGAACACCTTAACCCCTAGGCCACGAGAGCCCCCATATTTGTAGCCTACTTGTTACTCACTTGTAAGGCCCCTAATATTCGGCGCTTATTTGACCTTATTGTGTTGCAATTGTTGTTAAAGTCTTTCTAAAACTTGTTTAAAAAAATAAAATTCCAAGGCTTATTGTGTTTTAAGCGAGGCCAGCTTTCAAGGGTAGTATTGCACTGTGTTGAAAGGAGGATTTTACCCCAACAAAATCTGAGACCAATGTTTTTGTTTCAGACTTCACTTGTAACTCGGATCTCCTACCTTTACAACATTCCTCTTCGGAGCACAGTCGAAACTGTCTAAGACGTTCACCCGTTGTCGATGATAAACGCAGGCATATTAGACTGGTGGCCGTCTTACACAGTGCCTTTGTAATGTAAATTTTAAAAGTACGTAAGGGAGGAAATGGGAAGCGGCCGTTTGTTCATGTGATTGAGTGATTTAACTTGTGCAGGTGGGGTGAATTACAGCTGGTTGGACGGTACTTCTGTTTTACGCTATCGCCAACATGTGTAACGTTGTCGGTGTGAACGTGAGATTCAGAAACTAATTTCTCCGCTCGTGGAAAAAAAAATTACCCCCCCCCCAAAAAAAAAAAAAACAACAAACCCCAACCCAAACCTCAGAGAACCCAAACACCTGCGCTCACAAACTCGAACTCACCGGATACAAGTAAATGTTTACTTTGCAACAGCTATTTTTTCACGTTTCTCCCTTGAGGAAAAGACAGTTAGGTACTTTTCACGTGTGTAAAAAACAATACGATCTGTCAACAACATAACCTAGCGTACACCACTGGGGAGAGAAGGAGAGAGAGAGAGAGAGAGAGAGAGAGAGAGAGAGAGAGAGAGAGAGAGAGAATATGTGTGTGCTCGTTTGCGTGTGCGTGTTTGCATATGTGTCTTTGTGTGTGTGCGTGTGTGAGAGAGAGAGAGAGACAGAGAGACACAGAGAGAGAGAATGAATGTGTGTGTGCTCGTTTACGTATGTGCCTTTGTGTGTGTGTGTGTGTGTGTGTGTGTGTGTGTGTGTGTGTGTGTGTGTGTATTTATTTATGAGTGAGTGTCCTTGGGGTATTTTCTTTCCTGCTGTCAATGAACTAGCTTTTTCCCATGTTTTCTTCCAATGGACGTCAATAATTTCTCTGATTGTTACGATGACATAAGGTGTGTGGCGTGCATAGTTTCTCTGTGGATTCTATAGGTCTACAACTGATGAATTTTGCTGAGTGTTTAACATGTTGGAAAGGTTGAACAAACTTTTGGCCTGGTGATTGCGGGGTGCCACTGGTAGAACCTACATCTAGATCTACTTTTTTCTCCCTCTGCATTTTCCGTCTTTCCGTCTTGCCCTTTTCTAGCAAGAAATGGCTGTTATCGTGTAACTGTGCTGTTATTTTCTGTAAATAAATGGACAATTTTAACTTTTGAACTGGCCAAGTAGGGTGTGGAACCTGTTTGTTTGTTTGTTTTTGTAAAGTGTTTTACGGCGCTCGCAACTGCATAAGGTCATATGAGCGCGCGGGACACACCTAAAATTTTCAGTTGGTAGGAAATTTTGAATTTTTCCCGGGTGGCGGCCGAAGCCTACTCTTATCAATTGTAGACCACCAAGGAATCTTTAACGTGCGCAACTTGCACACGGGCCCTCCGAGATTTTTCGCCCTTGTCCGAGAAGGCTAGGTGTAGATCTTTCCTACCAGAAGATCAGGGGTGTGGCAGAAAGACAGCAGTAAGGAGGAGCCAAGGAGTAGCAGTAGAAAGGCTGCAGAAAGAGTCAGGAGCCCAGAGGAGGGGGCAAAGGAGGTGAGGGGGTGGGGGCAGAAAGTGGAAATGAAAGCAGACAACAGAACATTGTTAGAGAGTAGGAAAGGAGATGAAAGGAGACAATTTTAGAGAAGAAAATTTTTGGTCGCTACCCGGAATCGAACCCGGGACCTTTGAAAGAGAGGTCAACACCTTAACCTCTAGACCACGAGAGCCCCAGTGGAACCTGTGTCTAAAAACCGAAAACGAGTAGATGGCAGTTCACTTGAGGGTCTACTGTGATGTTTTTGTTCTACTTGACTGTCTACTCCCGCCTGATTAGTTGGTTCCACTTGAGAGTTAACGAGTAGGGTAGGGGTATGAATAGGGTTTGATTTTGTGTTAGGTTAGGTTAGGTTAGATTAGTTTGGGTTCAGGTGAGGTAAGGGTTGGGTTGGTTTGGGGTCTGGATGAAGGTTAAAGTCTTTACTGACGCCTTTTGTCCAGTTGACACAGTGCAGGTAGACGACTGTGGTCAATCAGTGGATTGTCATGCTTCTGTCACCAGTGTTTGTTGTGTAGTGGTATGGCACTTCCTGTCATATGCTGGAGACCGTAGTTTGATTCTCGAGGGGGGGGGGGGAGATTTTGTTTGAGTATGTTGGTCTTTCTGTTGCGATGTTGTATCCTTCTCAGCCTGGGTTGACCCTGACAGACCTGGTCGGGATTCTACCTCCTAAATGATCCAAATTGTGTCGATGAGAGTATAAAAACCCCTACATTTTCTTCCAATGTAGAGTTCTTCCAGTGGATGGTTGGCAGGTGCTCTGGTGTGGTTTAAATTGCTCTTTCAAATCTTGCCTATCAAACATCTGTCGTCCTTTTCTCTCCTTCTTATTTTGTTTGTTTGTTACTCTCTTGTAAGCGGGTGGTTGGAGGACGCCACTGGTAGGTCCTACTTCTTCACTTTCCTTCTGTTTCTGTCCGTCTGTCTTACTTTTTCTAGCCCTGAATGACCATTATACAAAAGCAAACTCTCTTCTAACACCTCTTGCCTTCGGTGCCTAAACTAACCAAATAGTGTTTCAAGAACTGTAAAGAGCTTATTAAAGCAATGTGTTTTCTCTACTAAAAAACGAACTGCCGTTCTCCTCCGTGGTGGTTGGCGGGTGCTCTGGTGTGGTTTGCTTCTACTTTCCTTTCAAACATCTGTCTTTATCTCCCCTCCTTCTTTTTTGTGTTTGTTACTCTCTTTTACCACCTTTAATATTCGCCACTTATATGACCTCATTGTGTTGCAAGTGCCGTAAAACTCTCAACTAAAACTAAAACGTTCTCCCCCACAGAATACAATAACCAATGCTGAGAAGCTTCTTGCTGCGGCGGACGAGTTAGCTCAGACGGGAGAGTGCGATGCCACCGAGATCTACAGCGAGGCCCATGAGCTGGAGCAGCGTATGCACGCCTTCCTGTCGGGTCTGCAGCGACGGAGGGCTGTGCTGGACATGACAGTCATCTTCTACTCTCATGTCCATGAGGTAATGTCTGCTCTACTTTTATGTACTCTTTCGTCTGGCTTGTTTCTTTTCCTTATTTCTCTTTCAGCTCCTTCTCTACCTTCCTCCTTTGCGTCTTCCTGCTTCTCCCCCTTCTCCTTTTCATCTTCCTGCTCCTCTCCTCCTCCTTTTCATCTTCCTGCTCCTCTCCTCCTCCTCTTTTTCATCTTTTTGTTCCTCCACCTGCTGCTTCTTCTTCTTACCCTTCCTCACCTTCCCACCCATTCTTCTTCGTCAGTCTCCCTCCCATTCCCCCTCCTCCCTCCCATTCCTCCTCCTCCCTCCTCTTCCTCCTCTTCCTCCTCTTCCTCTTCCAGAGCTGTGATGGTTACAAGTTTCTCTTGTGTATTATGTTCTGTGTACTTTATTTCAGTATTACTATTATCACCATTCGTTAATTTTTAAATGTTTTCTATCTTTTTCTTACTCTCTGTAAACTTCCACTCATCACTGACTCTACACTGCTTTTGTCAGATGATTGTTTTGCTGCAAAATACGTATGAAAATGTAGTACTGTAAGACTGAAGTTTATGAATTTTTTGTCCATCTATTAGTGTAGTTGGCCAATGTATAAGAGAATCACCTGTATGAACAACCACTTCCGATTTAACCCCCCCTCCCCCACCCCACAAACTTTAAGTGTTTGAATACCTTTTTCAACATTGTCATGACATTTTATAAAATGACCACTTGTCTAAGATGGCCTTTTTTTCTCAATGACATTGGGTGGCAGTCTCAGACAGTTTTGACTGCACTTCCAATAATGTTTTTTCTCTCCTTGTTCCGATGTAGTTGACCAACTGGCTGGAGGAGCTTCATACAGAACTTCAGAGCACGGAGTTGGCCGACAGTGTGGAGGGGGCTGAGCAGCTCATTGGTCAGTTCAACCAGCAGAGAGAGACCACTGTGGAAGCAGCCATCAACACGGTGGGGGAGGGAGAGACATTGCTGGAACAGCTCAGGTATCATACATGTGTATATTTGGTGTTTGGGGTGTTCTTGTGTGACGTGATTGTCTGAAAGTGTGTGTATGTTTACATGTGTTTGTTTATGTGTGTTGTTGTGTTGTGTGTGTTGTGTGTGCGTGCGTGCACGCGTGTGTGTGTGACAGAGGGCTGGTGTGTTTGTTGGATATATTTGTAGGCGAAAAGCAACAGAACACCCAACTTAGGTGATCAGAATGTGTGTATTCATTAAGGTTGAACAAAGGTTTTAATCCAGACGCAAATATGACTTTTTGTCTTTCTAGTATTCTCCATTTTTAATACAATCATGCGTAATTACTCGTTCATGAATATTTGTACATCTTTTTAAACCTCATCACCTTTAAGTTGCTGAAAAAAGTGTCTTCCATGTTCCCCAACACTTACAGATTCACGCATGAGCACCAGTCTTCAGCCATGTGGGTGATGTGTTGACACATTTAAAGCAAAGCACAAACTTACACACCTAGTTTCCCCTCATGTCTTATGTAAACATATTATAGCCAGGCTGTTCTTCTTGCATATTTGTCTGGTCGTAAGCACTGATGGTTGTAGGGCATTGTGTGGTTGTTTTGTTGTTGTTCAACTTTTTGTCTTTGCTCTGTGAAATGTGGGTGTTTGGGGGGTGCTCTGGTATGGTGATTTTTTTTTCCTATCCAACGTTTATTGTCCTTTATTTCTCCTCCTTCTTTTCTAACAGTATGTTACTCTCTAGTAACACCTCTAATCTTAGGCACTGATATGATCCAATACAAGTGCCATAAAACTGTTACCAAAACTAAATTAGATTCTTTGAAGTAAAAGCGTGTTCATGATGACGTAGCATATATAAAGTATATCTCTTCTACAACTGTCCGTTCAGATTTTTTGTTCAGTGACACTTTTGTGATGTAAACAAGAATAAAATTTCCACACACAATCCCAAGCACTAAAACATTAGTACAGATGAACAGAAGGGACTGGGTGTACAGTCGTTCAAGTGTGAAATGGGAACCTGATGTCCCTTCACACCTGACTGAACACAGGTGCTCTGAGATGAGGGGAAGTGACATAACACATGCTGGTCAAGGGTGGACTGAAGACACACTACACTGCCCGCCCCAGCCACCCCACCCCACGTCCCATTATTGTCTTCTTCTCCTACTCTCCCCTATCCCCACCCTGTCCATGTTTCTGTCTCTTTGTTATTCTGGATCCCTATCTGTTTCTCAGCTTTCCATTTCTCTGTGGAACAGTACTGGTCCCTTCCCCCCAACTGTGCTGTTGTTTTTTGTTTGTTTCTCTTTTTCTCTGTCTTTGTTTCTTAGCTTTTCTTTTCCCTGTTATGTCTGTAGGTGCTAGTTAGATGCTAAGTTGGAATTTTTCTTCTGCTTCTGAAAAAAAGAAAACTTAGTTATTTTAACTTTTTATTGTCTCTTTTGGGTCCCCAGACTCAGGTTTTGTTTTTCTATCTGTGTCAGCCTGTTTATTTGCCTGCCTACATGTTTGTCCCTTTTATATGTTATATGTGTCCTTTCATTTCTCTTTCTCTATAACTAGTCCTTTTTGTCTGTGGGTGGTTTGAGGTGCTCTGGTGTGGTTTGCTCTTTCTTTCCTAGATCCCATTAAAAAAAAAGTATTATTTATCGTTCTTATTGCTCCTCCTTCTTTTCTTTGCTTGTTACTCTCTAACACCACCTTTAATCTTTGGCATTTATATGACTTCTGTATGTTGCAAGTGCCATAAAATTCTTACTATTTAACTAAAACTACTTGTCTGTCACTTCTATATGTTTCCTTCCACGTCCTTGCTCTCTGCAACACACCCTCTTAGTCCTCTCAACAATGCCAAACTTCTGTGACCTTATAGTGTGTTAGGTCAGCCAGGTGTTACCTCACCCACTTTTTCCCTCCTTCCTTGGGCATCACTGTTCAGATCACTGTGTGTGGTTGGAGGGTGCCACTGGTTGGGTTTTACGTCCCTCTGTTGTTTCTGTGTATCTGTCTTACTTTTTCCCAACACTAAATGACCAGGATTTTGTGTGTCAATGCGCATCTCTTTACTCCAACAAACATGTTCAGATCACAACACAACACCCGGTCCCAAACTTAGCGGTCACTTCAAGGTAAGCAGATCATGGCCTGGCCAGATGGCTTACTTCTGCCTCTATGAGCACCATTTCCCCCCCCCCCCTGTAGTGTCGTCTCACAGCAGTGTTCACACCCCACTGAGAGCTGTACTAGCACAGGGGAAGAACACTAGACTGTAGATTGTTTGAGTTATACTTGAACTATCTAAGAACAGTGGACAGTATATTATTGTAGCCATACCATCACAGGCTAAGAACACAGGACTGTAGATTGTTTGAGCTATACCATCACAGGATAAGAACACTGGACTGTAGATTGTTTGAGCTATACCATCACAGGATAAGAACACTGGACTGTAGATTGTCTGTTGTAAATCTTGTGTTGAAAACAGATAAACAGCTAGCTGTTGTGTCACGGGTTGTTCCTTGTTCATTTGACATCAGCCAGTGACGATCCATCCTGTCTTCTTGTTGTTGTTGTTATTAACCCAGATCAGCCAGTGACAAAAGTGACTACAAGTAAAAGTACTAATGTGGTTGTTCTTCAGCTAAGCTGCTTTAGATAGAAGTGTTTTAGAATCACCCTATTATTTTTGGAGTAACTTTAATATCCAGCTCTCTTCCAAAAAGATAAAAGGTTTTTTTTATTTGTTCTGTGATCACAGGGATGTTTCAGTTTTTCATATTCTAGCACTAAGAAGCTCAAAGGATGCTCTGGTACTGTACGATTCGCAGACTTGTGTCAGTCCGTCAGGTGTTGATGTTGTAAGGCTCGTAGCGTTGCTCCTATGTGTATTGTTCTGGCACCGTGCACTTCCTTCTATTGTGTTGGAAAGTGTTTGTTTGTGGCCCATTCCCTGATGGAGGGTGAGAAAGGTAATGATGGTGTTGATCGTGCACTTCTTAGTTTTGTCAAGCTGACTTTAAAAGTGGAAAATCAGAACAGCTGGAAACTAGGAAAGACTCTTCTGCTGCACACAACTGACTTTGGGTTGCTGATGATAATTATCAACCTTGAACTCATTCTAAGGCGAAACAGTGCTCAAGTTCCGTAGGAGTAACAATACCTGGATATTTACATGAGCATCATTTTCCTGACTAGCTGACTTCTTTGAAGTATTGATCTGGTTGAGATGAACATTGGCTAAAATTGACAAAGAGACAGATCATGATATTATGACTTCATTATATATGTCATTTCTTTGTCACCCCCTGAGACTAATAGAACTGGAATGGGCTAGCCATTGTTTTTGTCCAACACTACTAAAGTGGACAGTGAAATCATGAGTGGTCAGCGTAACATTTCTGGCTCGGAGCTTCTGGGAATCTCCAAAGTCTTGTGCTGGTCTGTGGCATCCGTCGTGGGGATGGTAGTGACTCAGGGCTGGGCCAACCTGTGTGTCTGTGCCAGTTTCTACCTGCGTGCTGTGCTCATCCTGCTGCTTGTTGTGCTCATTTCTGTGGTCAGTTGGCTTAAGTCTGCTGTGTCCTTTTTCTACAGACTCATCTCCATGGAGACAGAGAAGACAGGTCACAGTGCAGACTACAAGCATATTGAGGGTGAGTTTGTTGTGGGTGTAAAAAATTATCTTTTTTTTTAAAAAGAAAAGATAGAAACTTTAAAAGTGTGTATGTGTGGAGCTCAGAGAGAGGATTAACTTTCATAAGGAATTTGGTAAACTCTTGAAAATTCTTGAAAATATTTTTGTCATTTTACTGTAAACAATATGGATAAGAGAAATTTGGTACTGAAATCGTTATCATCATTAGCGTCATTGTCATTATCATCATCATAATGGCAGCAATTTGTGTTGTTTCTGTCTATTAGCTTTAAGAGTGTGAGACTATAATCTTCTCTTCCCTTCTAGTTTATGGATTTTCTTCCTTCTAATCTCAGTGGGTGGTTGGAGGGTGCTCTGGTGTGGTTTGTTCCTTGTTTCCTATCTATTAAGCATCTATCATCTTTATCTATCATCCTTGTCTCTCCTCTTTCTTTTTTGTGTTTGTTACTCTCGTGTAAATCTCTCCTCTTTCTTTTTTGTGTTTGTTACTCTCTTGTAACACCTCCTATCTTTGGCTCTTATATGACGTTATTGTGTTTCAAGTGCCCAAAAACTCCTTCTAAAAACATGACCGAATTGTGTTGCAAGGGATGAAAACTCTTGATGTTAATAAATCTGATCTGATTGACTTGCTACGTCCATGTGTACAGGTGTGCTGAGCCAGCTCAATGACAGCCGCAGTCAGCTGGAGGACCTGTGGGCAGCACGCAAGATGAAGCTGGACCTGTGTCTGCAGCTGCAGGTCTTTGAGAGGGACGCCATGGAGGTAGATGCTGTGGAAGTGATATTTACTATTATTGTTGTTGTTGTTGTTATTCTTCTTCTTCTTCTTCTTCTTCTTCTTCTTCTTCTTCTTCTTCTTCTTCTTCTTCTTATTATTATTATTATTACTGTCATCGTCATCATCATCATTATTATTATTATTATTATTATTATCATTATTATTATTATTATTATTATTATTATTATTATTATTATTATTATTATTATGGAGGTGAGAGGAGTGTTGTTGTGTCTTCTTTTTTCTCCATGTCCTGCTCCCCACAAAATTTCAATTATCAGTGGGATGATGGAGAAGTAGACCCTTTTCACACTATCGTAGTTGTATAAGATTCATGTCTGTTGTTTTCCTTGCATATTTTGTTGTCTTGTTTCCTGTTTTTTTTTCTTTTTTCTTTTTTTTTCTCAAGTGGATGCCACTGATAGGTCCTGCTCCTCTTATTTCCCTTTGTCGTTTCGGTCTATCTGTCTTGCTTCTTCCCTGTACTGTATGGCCATTATTGCGTTGATGTACTTCTCTTTTCTCAAATTCAAACCTCATGCTTGCTTTTTTTTGTCAAGGGATGACCACTTTATTTTCCAAGTGCTGTAAAACTCTTTCTAAATTTAACAAAAGAAACTTCCCCCGTAATAACAATGCAACAATAATGATGTCTGATCACATGTTTGTGTGGCATTAGTAGCGTAATGGTGAAGAGGTTCGAACCTCTGCTTGGTCTGACTTTGTATCCTTGGGACAGGCTCTTTACATGAATTTTCTGTTTGGCTCTGATATTTTGGAGATGGGCGTTAAACTTGGAGGTCTCCTCTCTTAAATAACCGAAAAGGGTTGATAGGGATGTTAAAACTGTAGTGTATACCATTACACATTTTTTCCATACCTCTCTGTGTGATGTTGCAGGTCTCCTCTCAGCTGGAGCTGCTGTCAGAAGAGCTTCAGCACATGGAGATGGTGACGGACGGCAGCAAGGCTGAGCAGCTCCTACAGATACACAATGAGAGTGTGATGCACGTGCAGAACTGTACTTACGAGGTCATACAGCGGGGCCAAGAATTAGCGCAGGTGAGACCTTTTTGGTTCTTGTTTTTATTGCTGTTTTATGGTATCACGATGTGAATTTTCTATTCTTTGATTTGTCAGTTAAGACCAAGACAAAAGACCATTTCCCTCTTCCTCCACATCCCCCTCCCCCAGCATTTTTTCTATACTATAAAGATGCACTATTTAAAATGTCCGCCCGTCTAAGACCACCACTTTTTTTCTCAACAATGAGTGTCTGTCTTGAACAATTTAACTTTATTTGTATTTTCTACTTTAAACTGTACAGTCTCAGTTTCCTAGCATGTTGCATCTTGTATTCTTGGCCCAAATACTGAAGAAAATAACTGCTCTGTCCATGTATTGTTTGGTTACTTCTTTCTTGCCTTCTCTTGCAACAGTTACATACATGTGGGTTTTTTTTTATATGCCTGTAAGTGGATGGTTCCAAGGTGGTTCTGGCAGGTACTACTTTCTACTTTCTACGTTTCCTCTATTGTTTTCGTCAGTCTGTTTTGCTTTTGCCCAGTGCTGTATGGCAGTTATTGTACCGACTTGTCTTCTTTTCATTAACTCTTTATCTCTGGCAAGCTGCTCCCAGTGGCTCGCGGTCGGAACCACTGTGCCGGTGGGCCGCTGACTCAGGCACATTCCTTTACGACGACTTCGACATCAAAATACTTTTTCAGCAGTTGCCGAAAACAGTTCTCTTTTATCTGGATTTCATTCATTAGATTAAGAACTATCGAAATTGGTTCACTTGTTTCGATTTAATCACCAATTTAGTGAGGATTTTGTTATTTTTAGATTTAGTGCCAAAAACGGGCCCCGGCATAGTAGGTGTATTCCACGAAGATAAAGAGTTAAGAAAAAAATTGATATTGTATTCCTGTGTTAGTGTTTTCGTATGTTACATGTATTTGTGTGTCTGTGTACAGGTGATGAGTGAGAGTGACCACGAGGCCACAAACCGCATCGGCGTGCTGCTGGAGTACCTCAATGAGCGACAGGTTGACCTGGAGGGGTTGGCTGAGCAGAAGAGGCTGAGGCTACAGCAGTGTGTGCATCTGAGGAACTTTGAAATAGAAGCTAGACAGGTGAGTATGGGGGAAGGGAGGGTGGACTTGAGATAAAAGCTAGATAGGTGAGTGTGGAGGGAGGGATGATTTGTGTTTGGATACAGGGAGCTTTCAGCAGCAACGATCGTTCATCCACTGGAAAAAGTTGTGGTTAGTGGCCGTTCGGATGGTCTATCTTTTATTATTTTAATTTCACGATTTTGATGATGAAGTACAAGTAGTCTTTAACTTATTTTGTGGTTTACTGTGGTGAAATGAAGTATGAACAAGGAAAGGACATACTGTGCTAGGTTTTTTTGCAGTTGTTTTGGCCCTCCAAAGGCATAGAGTGCTCTCGGTAAAAATTGATGCAGAAAGAGAGGGTTTTTTTTCTCCCTTAAATGACCTCAGTTTGTTAAAAACAGTGTTCATCCCATACTGAATTGTTATGTATTAAATATTTAGTAAAAGATATGAAGCACGTGGAAGGAAAGCATCACTTCTTCTTTACTCTCCCTGTTTTTTTTTCTGTCTTTTTGAATTGCTTTGTTTTGGCATTAAATGACTGTGTTGATCTTCAACTCAAAAAGGCAAGAAGTACAATTTTGACAAGTTAAAAAAAAAAATATTAAAGAGAACAGTGAGAGGAAAGTCTTTTGAAAGTCTCTGTGTCTATGATGATTTGTCCTTTCTGTTATTGCATGCATTTTAAAAAATCTGACTGTTTCCATTGCAGGTGATCCTGTGGGTGCGGAACGGTGAGTCAATGCTCACTGACAGCTTTATGTGTCCCAACTCTTTGGTGGAGGCGGAGCAGCTGAAAAAAGAACATGAGCAGTTTATGATTGCTATTGAGGTAAACAGCAGACTTTGGCCATTATTTTCCAATTGACATGATTCAGAATGTTCAGTATTGTGACAGAGATTTGGAAATATTTGTAGGTTTTAACTGATGGACACTTTTTTTCCAATATTCTGTAGACTGTCACGTGTTTCCTTTTATTCCTGAAGTTTGAGACTTGTTCTCCTTTATTCTTTAAATTAAAAACATTCATCTTTTTCTCCCTATCCTGGTCGCACTCATCCTCGTATGTTAAAAAAGACAGATGCCCAAAGTGGGTGGTTGGTGGGTTCTCTGTTGTGGTTTGATCCTTCTTTTTATCAAATATCTATCATCCTTATCTCTCCTCTTTCTTTTTTGTGTTTGTTGCTCTCTTGTAACACATCTAATCTTGTACACTTGTTTATCCTAATTGTGCTGCAAGTGCCGTAAAATGCTTACTAGAACAAAAGATGCCCAAACCATTTAATTCGCTGTTTATCTATGTATTGCAAACTTTTATTATTTCTCTTTAGAAAACCCAATTCAGCCTTCTCTAGACAGATGCCCAAATCATTTCATTCGCTGTTTATCTATGTATTACAAGTTTTGACTATCTCTCCTCAGAAAACGCACTTCAGCCTGGTGGCTGTGACTCAGCGGGCAGAGGGCATGCTCCAGCAGCAGCACTACAACGCTGAGCTGGTCCGAGCCATGGCTGAGAATGTGACGCTAGCCTGGCAGCAGCTAATGTACCACGCCGAGGAGAGGCAGAAGCTGGTCATGGCCTCCACCAACTGGTACAAGACTGCTGAACAGGTCAGCTCAGATCATCGATTCAGGGTTTTTTTGTTGATGTTGTTTTCTTTACTAGTCTATGTATTAATTCTTTCAAGACTAAATGTGTCACAACGTGACGTGGTGAAATCAGGTGCTCGTCAATTTTTGGACATGTAGAGTATCATCTTAATTCTTATCCTGCGTCTGTGCCCAGATGCGTATCTTATCAGCAACCGATTATGTCGGACGTGCCGGGCAGGCCGCCGGGGCCACTCAGTGTGTACTGTTGGTGTACAGCGTGCGCGCCGGGAAACGTGTATTTTCGCCATGAATACCGCGGGAGTGTGTTTACCAATGATGAAAATAACGCTATATCTTTCATAGCTTTCTATTTATAAAGTGTTACAAACACATGAATAACCCCCCCTCACAAGCTGATAAGACATTACGAGTAGTTACGCCCATTCAAATAACCTTTCTGGACGCTCTTGTTGTTATGAATGACCTGAGGTTCGAAAGGGGATAATTTAGGCAATTTCCTAATGTTTTACCCTCAAATTGTTCTTTGTACCTGCACAATGGTATTCAAAACTATCATACAAGCTTATTTTTTATCAGGTAATATCATTTCATACAAAATCAAGCTCATTTGAAATATTTTGTATAGAAAAATGGAAGTCTTGTTTCCTGACTATCCTTTCGAGCTCCTCATGTCTGGGTCAATTTCTTCTATAATTTCATTGGACGAACATCTGGAGCTACCAACTTGGCATGTTTTGAATGAGACGTATGCCTCGATTACGAACCAACGCAGGCGGTTCTAGAAGAAGGCCACAAAAGCACACAAACTCAAGCAGACTGACGCACACACACTTGACCTGCGTGAATGGGGATCCGACTCGGGACCCGAATGACACGTAAGAGGGTGTGCGCTGCGCGTGCGCTGAGCCAGGGGCTACACTGATTCGGGACCAGAACGTAGGCGAGGTGCCGAAATAGGCTTATCGGGCGACATAAACCCGGCTCCCGCAGGATGAGTGTTAAAGCTTGTTCATTTGTCTTGCTTTTGGTGAAAACAATACTCATTTGTCTTGAAAACAAGTCGAGATATTATCGGTTGAAGGAGGGGGGGTAGCCTGATTTCAGAAGGAAACTCAGCAAGAAAATGGCCGCCAAAGTTAGGTTGTTTACATAGTTTGAGAGTCAGAACAAACTGAAAATTTAAATTTGTGTACCTTTAATCGACGATTTTGAGTAAAATCCACACAGAAATGTGTTCTTTAATAGACAGAAAAGGTGTTAAGCCAAAAAACAAAAATTTGACAAAAATTGCCAAACCTGATGGAAAATGCCAGGGTCTACCATTTCAGTATTTTGACAAGCGCCTGATTTCACCACGCTGCATCACAAATTGTTGTGAAGTCATGACTAAACTGTTTTAGAGTTATGAATAAAAACAACACATTCTGTATTGAGAATATGACTAGTCATGGCCTCCACCAACTGGTACAAGACTGCTGTACAGGTCAGCTCTGATCAGTTCTTCTTTTTTGGTTTCCCCTGCTTGAACTTGGGGTAATTGTTGTGTTGTTATGTGTTGTTACTTGTAAATGAAAGAGTATTCAACACTAACCTTTTGGTTGCCTGTGGAGATGTGTTTACAGTTACAAGGGTTAGCCAAACCTGTCTCTCTCTCTCTCTCTAGATTGTGTGATCCTTTCCTCTGCGGTGGGGCCTCGATACGACGGAATCTCACCACCAAAGCACAGAAATAGACAGGCTCTAAACAGCCATTCCCCCTTTCCTCACGCCTACATCTCTGCAGGCCTCCTCTGCCTCGATACAGCTCTTGCCTCTACCCTGCTGTAATCCGCACTGAACTCGTCTCACACTAACTCACTCACTCTCTCTGCTTTACACACTTGCTCCAAACAATACAATAGGCTAGGCTAACTTCTTGTTATTGACCAACACGACAGATTGCCAATAAACAGCCAAATAGACCACATGATTACTGGTTATTCTACCTGCAGTACAGCTTATTTTTATTTATGTGACTGTGTTTCTAACTTAATAAGGCCCCTTGCCTTCAGCCTGCCACATTCCGATTTTATACTGGATAAACATTTTCTGTTTTAGTAGAAATTCATTTTGAATTTTGCGTGGGTGAGGGCTGAAGCCTAATCTTATTGATTTTAGGACCCTTAGCTTAGATAAATTGATGCAGTGTTTGTTTTGTTTTTTCTTGTCTATGTATTAATTCTTTCAAGACTAAATTGTCATGAAGTCAGGAATAAATTGTTGTAGAGTAACGAATACTCCACATTCTATTGCCATTGTCTTGGGGATATGACTAGAAAGAGATGAAATTCCTGCCTAGTGTATTTTAAACAGAAAAGTAAGTGATTCTCAAATACCATGAGAAATCCACTTTTTCTTCTTTCGAATATGCTATTGCCGAAGTTCATCGTCTGATCACTTCTTGAAATGTTCATCTTTTGTATGATAATGAAGTGAATGAGTATTTTCTGGCTTCATGTTGGTGTAGTTAGAGGATGCTGTCAGTAGTTTCTTCTTTGTGTTTTGCACCTGTTATTTTTGTCTGCGATCTCACTTTTGTCAACAAGACTATGAACAATTGTATAGTATACATTTGTGTTGCTCTTGATCATCTCTCAGGTGTGGTCAGTGCTGGAGTCACTGGACCGTGACTACAAGCGAGACGAGGACTGGTGTAACTCGGACAAGGCCGGTACCACCAACACCCAGGCCAAGGCAGCCTATCTGGTGCAGCTCATCAACAAACACAGTGAGCAGAAGGAGGCATTTCTCAGGGTGAGTACTTCTGGTAATAATAATGGTAATAGTAATGATAATGATAATAATAATAATTGGCATTTGTGTAGTGCATATCCCTGCTCAACAGCAAATTCACTGTCTGTATTAGTACACTAGCTGACTGTGAAACACTCGGAAAACATTCTCGGCTTCATGGGAAGCATATGCTAGTGAACATGTTTTGTTTAGGAGGTCAGATCCAACTTATAATAATCCATTGAGACTGTGCTAGCTATAATATGGTCAACACCTTCTACAGTAGTGATCATCTCACTGGCAATGTCTGACTGGTAGTGTTAACAATTTTGTGGAAGTTTGTACAAAAAAAGACTGAGCCCTTTCTATACTAATATTCTCTCTTAAATTGTTTAACAGTGGACACGAGCCATTTGTTTTCAATTTTCTTGGTTGATATATGTTAGGAGACTATACATTGCCATCTGTTGGTTGTTAATCTCTGTGCTCTCATTTCCTTTCTGTCCAGGCATGCACACTGGCGAGACGAACTGCTGAAACATTCCTAAAGTACGTGACCCGAAACCTGCACTTTCTGGGCATGCAGATGAAATTTCGGAGCCCAGAGCAACGGGTAAAAGGTATGAAGGCAGATTGATGTGAACAAATACAGTCTAGCACTCGCATAGCAAAATCTTTTTGTTACATATAAATTTAGCCTTGTATGTGTCTTTAATATAGAGAAAATACATGTATTAAAAAAAATTAGGGACCTGAGAATCTGTTGTCAATGCGTATGTTTCTCAATGTTTGTGTTCTCTATGTTGTGCTAGACTGTATAACTGTTCTGTAGAGAAGTTTGTTTCTGAACGAACATTTTGAATTTACCAGGAGTTTGTTAGATGTGCAGTTCATTGTTTTTTTCAAGTTCTTTTTAAAAAACAGTTTTGGTAGTAATCTTCCATTTTCCGTTTTCTTTCATGGAAATGTGTGCTTTTTATTTTTTACTTCATTCTACCTCACAAGTTAGCAGTTGCTGATGCAGATGTGACGACAGCTGTAAAACAGCATAAAGCATTAGGCAATCTGGACTTGGTGATGATGTGTATGTACCTTAAAAGTTATGAAATTCTTGAGATAAAATGATTGTTCTAAACTGTATTTATTTTGCTGTAAAAATGTTCATCTTTAATTGACTTGAAGTCCTTGTCTATAGCATGTTCGAAGTGTTGTTCTTTCCAAGTCTCACTATTTTGATAGGACTTTTTGAATGGTAAAGAAAGCTTTAAAGCAATTTCATGTTTTTAGTCATGTCTGAATTAATGCTTTACATTCTTATTGTTTCAGCTACACTGACCAAATTATTGCAGCAAGAAAATTTAGTGTTAGAATTTTGGACCATGAAGAAGAGGAAACTGGAGCAGTGTCACCAGTTTGTGTTGTTTGAACAGAGCGCCAAGCAGGTGAGGGAATTATCAACACGCTTTGTTTTTTTGTACATCTTTGACTACACCATACATTTTTTACCATTTAATCTAGCTAAATCTGTGTGACATTGTCTCCAGTTCACACTTCGATTATGTATACATCGATTTATGTGTATGGGTTGCTTTTGAAATGTTAAATGTATAATACAGTCCAACTTGCTCACGGTCACCTGTAAAAAGACAGTCCTCCTGTACAACAAACGGCCAGTGTTTTTTTTCTTTTTAAACTGCCATAATGATGCTCTCCCACGCATCCACCTGTCTAAGACAGCTTCTTTACTTTTCAACAATGGGAGCTGTCTTGGACAATTTTGACTATATTTATCAATCAATAGCAGTATCTCATATAGTACCTTTGTGTGTGTTCCAGGCCTTAGAGTGGATCCATGACTATGGTGAGGCATATCTCGCCTCTCACACCAACGTGGGAGCTGACAAAAATGAAACAGAGGCTTTGCTCAAGGAACATTATGAATTCAGGAACAGGGCCAAGGTAACTGACCTTTTGATGATTGAGACCTTAGTTTTCATTAAAAAATCACAATTGTGGAAAGTGTTAGTAATTGCTCTCTTTTGTTTGAACAGTGCATCTGGAATAATTGAATATGCAGAGGTCTGTCGGTTTGTAAATACCCTATTCCTTTTAAACACAAGTCTTTTAGTAAAACTTTTTATATTTGAAAGTGAGGATCCAAACTCACGCTACATTTATCCGTACAGACACAGTTTCTTTTCTGTTTTAAAAGAAATTGACCCACATCTGCTCTGACATGGTTTGCTCTTTCTTTCCTTTCAAATGTCTATCATCCTTGTCTTTCCTCTTTCTTTTCTTTGTATGTTAGTTTTGAGTTACCCTTTTAACCTTCGGCACTTTTATGACCAATTCATGTTGCAAATTCTGTAAAACTCTTACTTAAACCGAAACTAAAACTCCCTGCACAAAATGACCTTAATTGTGTCGATGCATTTCTCTTTAATCAAAATAAGAAACAATTGAGACATTATAATGGTGGTTGGCGGGTGCTCTAGTGTGATTTGCTCCTTCTTTCTCATCAAACATCTATCGTCCTTATCTCTCCTTCTTTTTTGTGTTCGTTACCCCCTTTGTTACTCCTCATCTTCGGCACTTCTATGGCCTTACTGTGTTGCAAGTGCAGTAAAACTTACTAAAACTAAAACTGAGTTAATACGTTGTTGTGCTGTGCTGTGTATCCCAGGAGACCAAGGAGAATGTCAAGCTTCTGCTCCAGCTGGCAGACGACTTTGTGACCAAGGGCAACATTCACGCCACCAGCATCATGGAGTGGTGTAGCATGGTTGATAAACGCTACAAGCTCTTCTCCTCGCGCATGGAGAAGTACCGGCTACAGCTACAGGCCAAACTAGGGGTCACGCCACAGGAGGTCAGTGCTGATTTCTGAACCTTTCTGTATTTATATAGTTTCTGGATGTGGATAGGTTTGTTTTTGTATACTCTGAGTGTACATTGGTGTATGATTTTGATACTCAAGTGATGACCCGTCTAATTGAAGCATTTGTTGATTTTTGAAAGGTTCACTTATGCTCATAATATGGAGAGGATCACTTCAGTAATATTGAGAGAGGGGAGGGTTTGCAGGGGCCCTTGATGCTTCTTTCTTGTCTACTTTTACTATGGACTAATTCAATGGTGAAGTTGTCACACGGCATTTGTAGTTTTAAAAAATGAGCCATGGGTATCTTAGTTGTTGTTTTTGCAGTCATATTTTGTTGTCTTTTTGGAACACCCTGACTTCAATGTCACTGGATGGTTTACTGGAGTGCAGCCATAGACCTCTGGCAAATAAATGTACATCCCTTGTGTGGACTCGAATTTATATGGATGCAGCGGTTGATTTGTTTTTTCTATTTCGTCTTTTGCACAGCAAAATGAGAAGGATGAGCAGCGTCAAAGTGATTCGTCCATAGAGGAGAAATTGGAGCAAACAAGTACAGGGAAAGAAATCACAGAGGAAAAACGAAAGTCTGCCCGGAGAAGAGAGTATGTATCTTTTGGTTTTACTTGTTTTTTGGACAGTTTTGAATGAGTTTACTTTTATTTCGGGTAACATATTTGCCCCCAAAAAATATTTCACATTTTGATATTCCAGTGCTCATGTACTGTCTGCTAATTATCTCTTAGAGAAAGACGGAAATGAGTAATGTACAGGTAGGGTATATCTGTGTGCTTTAAGGGAGTTTTTGAAGGCTTAAGGGAGTCTTTAAGGCTACAGTGGTCCTCACTAAGCTTTTATTTCCCCAAATTCCATGATCAGACAGTTGTGTCTTTCAGCACTTTAATGAGAATAGCCTGACTGTTTCCTTGTCTAGTTGGACCCATTTAATCTTGGCTTCTTATAGTCTTATAGTGTGTATATAGTTTATGATTCCCATTTCAAATATACATCAAGAAACCACTGTACCTAAAGTATAGGGTGTAGCTGGGTGAGTTTTGCTTGGTTTCGATAGCTGGGTGTGACTGACCTCCAGTTTGTCTTTGTCTTTTGCTTGCCATGTCTCTCACATGTGTGCTGTCAGATGTCCCACCAAGGAAACTTATATATTTTATTAACATAATTATATATGTCTTTTTCTCTCTTGTTGGGAGATTTCATTAGTGTCATTAAGCTGTTAAAGATATGATATGGAAGGTTTATTTCTAATAATCTGAAGCTTATATATGTTGCAGGTCTGGAATGTTTGTGGCCAGAGTCTGATGGGTTTTGTTTGTTAAAGACATATTGGTGGAATAATTGTAATCATTTTTTCCCCCCCCTAACCATTGTTTTTGGATGCATATTGTTAGTTAAATTGGATTTTCTGTTCTCTGTTTTGCAGGTTTATCATGGCTGAATTACTACAGACGGAGAGAACTTATGTGAAGGATTTAGAAATCTGTATCAATGTAAGTTTTACTTTTTTGTGCATAAACTGAATTTATTTTGTTGTAAATGATTGTACGAGATAAACATTTCTGCTATTGACATTTTCATATATTTTATTTTTTTTTCAAAATATTGGTTTTCCCTTCCACATGTAGGAAAAAAGCACATTTGACGTACATATTTTTATTTTCTTCAGAGATGTTGTATTCCTATAATTTATCTGTGTTAAATATCTTGTTTTTCCACTGCAGTTATGACTTTTATAACTCGTAATGGGATTGTTATTAATTGATGTGGTTCAATGTTTTTCCTTGCAGTGTTATATGAAACCAATGTCCGACTCCAGTATTAATGTTCCCGCCGGCATCCACGGCAAGGAACATGTTGTCTTTAGCAATATGGATGAGATTTATGAATTCCACAAAGAGTGAGTACTGCATATGTAGGACTACTGTTTTATTGTTTTTACACTTGGTCATGTCCTAAATGATTTAATAGAATGCATGTTTAGTTTTGTTCCCTATTAATGCATTACTCTGTGATATGTAAATGTCTGATTTACCCTAATCTGTTTAATGTGCCTTTGGATCAATTACTGAGACAAGTCATAAAAACTAAGCTAATTGTTTTTACTGTTATTACAGTGACAGGCACCTTTTTGACCATTCATGTGTTATAGATTTGGAAGAGAATTATTCTCATATGGGTAATAGATGGTATTTGTTAAAACTGAAGAAAAATGTAGTCTTCCAATTGCGAAGAGTTGTGTCTGAGGGTCAAATGATTTGGCTCAGCAGTTCTTACCAAGTACAGAAGGGACTCATGAAAATTGAATTTATGGGGGATTATGGCGGATGCTCTGGTGTGGTTTGCTCCTTCTTTCCTCTCAACATCTATTTTCATTATCTCTCATCCTTTTTTGTGTTTGCTACTCTTTTGTAACACCTCTACTCTTGTGCACTTATACAACCTTATTGTGTGACAAGTGCCATAAAACTCTTACTACAAAAGCAAAAAACTTAAATTTGCCTTACCTTTCCATGTTGTAATTTCTTCTTTACCCAGTGTGTTCCTGAAGGAGTTGGAGAAGTATGAGTCAATACCTGAGGATGTGGGCCATTGCTTTGTCACATGGGTATGTGAGCTTTGTCTGTTTTGTGCTTTGGGTCATTTTATTTGTCTTTCTGAGCTGAAATAGTTTTGTCAATAGTCGCTTTAGAGCCGAGGATGAGTTTAATGTCAGTTGGATTCCAAATCTCATTTCTGTGAAGGTGTGCTGAAAAAAAAAATCTTTGCTGCCAAGCAAGAGATGCTCCTGCTGGGTGGAACACTTTATGAAAGACTTCAGTAATGAATATACTGAAAAAAATATCTCTTTTGGGGTTAAAGGTAATGGGGCTCACAGTTTTTATGGCAATATTCTTTCATTATTCTAGAGAAACTATAACATCCTAAAAACCTCATGTTACTCTTTGGTTTCTTAAAAATGACTTAATGCTTTTAGTTTCTCATGTTTTTATTATTGCTGTTACAGTTACAATATATCCTTTGAATGTTTTTTAGCCAGACAACTTTTGCTTTAATTTAAAGCTTCCATTATTTAAAGTATTCTGTTTATCGGGTATCAGCCAATGAAGACAATCAGTACCTACAAGAAGGGACCTGCTTGTGGTTTATTTTGCCAACTTCTGCTTTGTTCTTAGTATGTGAGTGAGAAAGTTCTTCTTTATGTGGTTTAACTGGTTTTCTTTTTACTGTGAAATTTTGTATCTCATGTGAATGAAGTAATATGCGCAGTGATGAATGTAAAGCATTTAGAGTTTATGTTTGTGTCTGCTATTATTATTATTATTATTATTTTAATATGATTAATTTTCATGGTTTTTCAGGCGGAGAAATTCTCCATTTATGTGACCTACTGCAAGAACAAACCGGACTCCAATGCTCTGCTGGTGGAGCAGGCTGGACTCTTTTTCGAGGTAATTTATGAGGAGATTTAATTAGACATTTGCGGATGGTTGGCAGATGTTGTGGTGTTGTTTGCTCCTTCTTTCCTATCAAACGTCTATCGTTTGAAATGTCTGTATCTTTCCTCCTTTTAGTGTTTGTTTCTGTCTTGTAACACCTCTAATCTTTTACACTTTTATGACCTTATCATGTTCCATGTACTGTAGAACTCTTACTAAAACGAAAAATAATCAGACATTCTTGATGTTGAGTGCTTATAGAAAATTAAAATTGGTCATTCATGGCATGCTGGCATAAATAAAAAGTGAAATATAAAGGTATGCCGAGGAGGACAAGCTCAACTGCGGAAATGCCTAAATTTGAAAGAAATACAGAGATACTTGAACAAAGTCATCATGACCTTTCAGATAAATTTTTTTCCTCATCAAGTTTACTTAAGTCGAAACTAGAAGAATTTGAGACCATGATGGAAAGAGTAGAAGTTGTTTCAATGCAGAAGGGTTGTAAATCAATGTGAAACCATTTATAGAGAGGGAGGGGGGGGCTTAAGCCCATACTTATGGGGATGTTCACGAGGTTTGAAGTTGAAATGTTATTAAATGTGTAGACAATAAGGTTTTGCTTCTGGTCTTCATGTGTTCATGAATGCTTGCAAGTGCTCACATATGCACTTTCTTAGTGGACATACACTTTCACTCATAAACACATACATGCTCACACACACACACACGCACACGCACACACACACACACACACACACACACACACACACACACACACACACACACATGCACACACACATTCACACTCACACACATTCACACTCACACACACACACACTTTCATACACACCTTCACTCAAGCACATTTCCTCCCTCACACACCACACCCTCTCACACGTCCCCTCACTCTGTGTGTGTCTAACAGGAGATGCAGCGCAAGAGCAAACTGAACGAGCCCATTGCTTCCTACCTGATCAAACCGGTTCAGAGAGTGACCAAGTACCAACTACTGCTCAAAGATCTGCTCACGTGTTGTGAGGAACACACCGGTGAGATCAAGGTAAGACAAAAATATATTGTCACTTGAAGGACTCAATTCTTGCTATTTGTGGGGAAAGAAAACCACCCTTTGATCACAGCGTGCTCAGTTATATTTTGGAAAGGGGAGAAGTTGTGTTAGGGTGGAAGGAGTGTAGATCAGTATAAAACCCTGAGTGGAATGGGACTTGGGAACCTAGACTCTAATCAAATTAAATGCTTTTGAAGCTAGTATGGAAATGTTATTTTTAATTTTTGAAAATTGAAAAATTGTTTTCCTAGAAATCGTCCATCTGCATCCAGACTGAACAGCCATTCTTTAAAAGGAAATCCTCATACCCTTAAGGAATCTGTCTCATGTTGGTTCAGGTCATTCAGGTTTGTGTTTGTACTCTGGCCCGTTGTGTACTAACTTCATGTTTTTTCTTCCGACTCCAGGAAGCCCTTGAGGTGATGATGAATGTGCCTAAGAAAGCCAACGATGCCATGCATCTGAGTATGCTGGAGGGAATGGAGGATAATTTGGAGGCTCTTGGGGAAGTACTCTTACAGGTGAGGGACTGTGCATTCAAACTTGCACAAACATGTGTCCACACATACGAGGGGCATACCAAAAGTTTTTTTCCTGACCATGAAGGGATAAAAGTAGAAGGCTGAAATTTGGGGTGAAAGCCAACAATCATCTTCCTAGAATGCATGTCAGTTTTGGGGGAATTTACAATCACTGGTTTTACCACCAGCGCACTGTGAGTGAATGAGGGTATGTTGTTCTCCAGTATCAACATACAAATGAAGAAAATTGAGAACAGGGCAGTAATGAAGTTTTTGTTCTTGCAAGACAAGCAACAGCAGGATATTTTTATGAATATGCATGCCACATATGAAACTGATTGCCCATCCTATGCTGTGATGAAATTTTGGTGTAAAAATTTCAAATGCAGATTCGTGGGCATTAGATGGTTGGTTTCCTGACAGAGAGAGGGTCCTCTATTCTCAAGGTCTTTTCAAGGTCATACACTGATGACAAAAATGTGTAACTGTGGGAGGCGACTACATAGAGAAAGACTAACGTTAGTGCCAAATTTCAGCTTTCCACCTTTATTCCTTCATGGTCAGGTAAAAAACTTTTGGTATGCCCCTCGTACATGCACACACATACACACACTCGTATGTGTGGATCTCATGTGTACTACTGTTCATCGAGTTTCTTTTAAAAAAATGTATTCTTTGGTACATACTTTTAAAAATATTTTTGTTTTGCCCATTTCTTTTTTTGTAAACGTTTTGAATTTGTGATTTCAGTAGCTTAATGTCATATATTCCATTGCAGTAGCGCCCCTTTTAACATTTTGCCGATGACTTGAATTCATGCCTTTAAATTTCCTGAAAATTGTTATAATTCAAGTCATGTGCTAAAACATGTGCTAAAAAATGCGATATACAAAAATACACTCATGTTTAAATATTTCTATTATTATTCAAATTTTTTTGGTGATGAAATATGGCTGTTTGATGGTGGCTGGAAGGCTACCTATCTACTTCACCCTGCTTTATTGAAGATGGATATTCAATCCAGAGGTATTTCCCACCTCTTAAATATCCATCCAGTATCATACCATTCCATGCCCTCTGTTGTTTCTGTCTGTCCGTCTTGCTTTTTCACTGCTCTAAATAACTTTTACCGTGTGGATGTGCTTCTCTTTACTCAGACATGTGGCTGTTCTAACACTTACGTGGAGCATCCTACCTAATAACAATAGTGGGTGGTTTTAGGATGGTCTGATGTGGTTTGCTCCTTCTTTTCTTTCAAATATATATTGTCTTTATCTCTCCTCCTTTCCTTTGTATGATATTCTCTAGTAACACCTCTCTTCAGCACTTATATTATGACCAATTTGTGTTGCTAGTATTGGGAAACTCTTACTAAAACTAAACTAAACAACTGTAAACTGATTGTAATCTCTGACGTGCAGGACAACTTCACGGTCTGGGACCCAAAACAGCTGATCAAGAAAGGCCGCGAGAGACACCTGTTCCTGTTTGACGTCTGCCTCGTCTTCTCCAAGGAGGTCAAGGACAGTAATGGAAAGTCCAAGTACATATACAAGTTCAAGTTGATGGTAAGTGTTGCACTCAACAGAGGTGCAGATTTTCAGATAAGTCTGGAAATCCAGATTTCTCAAATTGTCTGGATTTTGCCTGATTTCTCTAAATTTCAGGTCCACCATTGCAAAGTCTTAATACAAGATGTATAAGACACAATGATCAGTAAATTTTGAGTCCCAGGGCTGTGTTTACATGGGGTTAGGATTTTTTTGATAGTCTCTCGGCACCTCTAACCTAAATGATTGTTGTTTTGAAAAAGGGAGGAGTCTGGGAAAAGAGGGGGATGAAGGTGGTTTGGTGGGGAGGAGGTTAGGGTGATTTGAAAAAGAGAAACGGTATGGGGGATAAAGATAATTTTGATTTGGTTGAGATTTTCTCACAATGTTATTATAATCATTTGTTTAAAATGAAAATCAAATTAATTAAAATCTCCTAAATATTTATGTTGAAAGTATTAGACATTTGCGTTACCAACACAATCCATAAATTTAACGTTATGGCTCTGTTTTTAGGTCATGCTATCATTTTGCCTTCTGTTTAGTTGTAAGAATTGACGTATTGTCTAGTGGTCATGTAATTATTGAGTGCAGGCTTTTAAATAATCCAATGATGTTGATGCTATGACTTTTAGATAAGTGGCCATAGAGATGTGTGCTTGAGCCCTGTGCGTCAACGCTTGCCCTCAATCGTGTTTCTGCCCTGCATTACCAACTATTGGTTGTTATTTAAAATTGCCTGATTGTCACAGCTTGATTGTTCTGTTGGTCTCTGTAAAACATCATTTTGCAGGATCCTGAGATTTTTTTGTTGTTGTTTTGTTTTGTTTTGTGAAAGTTGTGACTTTTATCCTATTGTCCTATATATACATTGAAAAGAGTTTGCTGAATGAAAAGTTATGTAATTTCTGCCTTTGTTTTTTATCAGATTGCTGAGATCAACATTACGGAACATATAGAAGGGGATGAGACCAAGTTTGCCTTGTGGACTGGACGGGCACCCATCTCAGACTACAGGATTATCCTCAAGGTAACATTATGTTTTAAGATTCCCTCTGTGTCCCAAGATCCAACAACACATGGCATACTGATCAAGCTGAAGTATCGAGATTCATACTGAAGAATGTTGAAACAATTTTAACCTAGAGCTAGAACTGAAAAAGGAGAGTATCTCGTGTAGAAATAGATACAAAAAACTATTCCAAAAGTCAACTTTTTGGGGGGTAAAAAGTATAGTTGTAGCTATGGTTTATGTAAAGTGTGAAGTAACCATTCATTATGAACATTTAAAAAAAAGTAACTCAGTTTAAAAAATCAGTTCACCAAATTGTCAAACATTAAACAGCAAACTGGTAAAAATGCTTTGAAATATTGATAGTGGTTCATTTAGTCCTAAAGAAATGCATGCTGAGACTTCCAGAAAGAGAAGCGTGATTTTTTATTTAAAATATAGAGTGAGAGCTCTAAAAATAGAAACAAGATTTCAGTTAGAAAGGCGTCGGGAGTCCTAAAAACAAATAAAAGCCTGATTATAAGAAATAACCTTTGGCTGGTGGTGTTCCACAGGCGTCATCACTGGACACGAAGCAGCAGTGGGTGAAGAAGATGCGTGAGCTGATCCAGGAGCGTGTCCTCTATCTCAACGATGCCCTCAAGGACAAACAAGCCACCATGTTCAAACCTCCACCCAAGATCTTCAACACAAGTCGAGTCAGCCGGTGAGTTTCTCTCAGATACACGCTTCTTTTCTCTGATACATGTTCCTTGTCTCAGATACATGTTCCCTGTCTCAGATACATGTTCCCTGTCTCAGATACACGCTCTCTCTCTCAGATACATGTTCCCTGTCTCAGATACATGTTCCCTGTCTCAGATACACGCTCTCTCTCTCTCAGATACATGTTCTCTGTCTCAGATACATGCTCCCTGTCTCAGATACGTCTCCGATACATGCTTCCTTGTCTCAGATACATGTTTCCTGTCTTAGATACCCGTTCCCTGTCTCAGATACTCGCTCTCTGTCTCAGGTACATGTTCTCTGTCTCAGACACTTGCTCCCTGTCTCAGATACGTCTCTGATACATGCTTCCTTGTCTCAGATACACGCTCTCTGTCTCAGATACATGCATCCTTGTCTCAGATATATGTTCCCAGTCTCAGATACATCTCAGATACACGCTCTCTGTCTCAGATACATGCTGTGGGTGGTTGGCGGGTGTCTGGAGTGGTCTGCTTCTTCTTTCCTATCAAACATCTATCGTCTTTATCTCTCTTTCTTCTTTTTTATGTTTGTTACTCTCTTGTAACACCTCTAATCTTCTGGCGCTCATATGACCGTATGCAGTTGCGAGCGCCCTAAAACCACTACTGAAACTAAAAAGATACACGCTCTGTGTCTCAGATACACGTTCCTTTTCTCAGATACATGGTTCCTTGACCTTGTCTCAGATACACATTCCTTGTCTCAGATGCATGCTTCTTTGACCTTGTCTCAGATACTTCTTCCCTGTCTCAGATACGTCTCAGGTACATGTTCCCTGTCTCAGGTACACACTCTCTGTCTCAGATACTTGTTCCCTGTCTCAGATACGTCTCAGGTACATGTTCCCTGTCTCAGGTACACACTCTCTGTCTCAGATACATGTTCCCTGTCTCAGATACACGCTGTCTGTCTCAGATACATGTTCCCCACCTGCCTCTTTGCCCAAACCTCTCCCCCGTCTCGCACATACTACCTCTCTTTACTCTGGTTGTTTCTCACTTCCAGCATTCTTTCCTTCAGCAGTGTTGAAAGTGGAGTTAAACTCAACCAGTATGGGTAGTTGGCGGGTGCTCTGGTGTGGTTTGCTTCTTCTTTCCTATCAAACGTCTATCATCCTCATCTCCGCTTCTTCTTTTTTATACTTTTAATGTTTGTTACTCTCTTGTAACACCTCTATTCTTCTGGCGCTCATATGACCTTATTCAGTTGCGAGCACCGTAAAACTTCTACTAAAACTAAACTAAACTCAACCAGTACCATACCGTTCTTTCTTGCTTGATCTTTCCTATCAAACATCTATCAGTGGGTGGTTGGCGGGTGCTCTGGTGTGGTTTGCTCCTTCTTTCCTCTTAAACATCTATCGTCCTTATCTCTCCTTTTTTTTTAACGTTTGTTGTTACTCTCTTGTAAAACCTCTAATCTTCGGCACTTATATGACCTTATTGTGTTGCAAGTGCCGTAAAACTTTTTACTAAACTAAACTAAAAACATCTATCATCCTTAACTCTCCTTTATTTTTGTTTTTGTTACTCTCTTGCAACATCTCTAATCTTCAGCACTATTTTAACCTTATTGTGTTGCAAGTGTGGTAAAACTCTTACTAGAGATAAACTCTCTACGAGTGATGCGTGGACACACTCATGTGATCTGTTCCTTCTGTTTGTTTGTTTTTCTACAGCGATGCTATTTCTCTAGTCTGTTTATGTTGAGATGTGGCCGTTATTCTGTTGAGTCTTGCTAAACCTGTTTTTGACCACTCCAGCTGTGTGTATTGTATATTTTCCTGTCTTTCTCTTCTCTTCTACCCAGCCGTGTCTGCCTTTTTCTCTGTCTGTCTGTCTGTCTGTCTGTCTGTCTGTCTGTCTGTCTGTCTGTCTGTCTGTCTGTCTGTCTGTCTGTCTGATTATTACTCACTACTGTATTTCCCTGCCTCTTAAATACACTGGAATGGTGTACGTGTGTGAGGGGGGGGGGGGGCATTTCTCATGTTTACCCAGATAACAGCACAACACAAACAACGCACATTACTGTTTGTGCACTCTATGACCCCCCCCCCCCCCCCGTGACTCCTACAGGTTGGGCATAATGCTTATGACTTATAATATAAATCATAAAGCGCATAAAGTTGCTGTTGAGTGGGCATATGCGCAAAACAAATGCTAGTTATTATTACAGCAGCAAAGGAAGATGCAACATCTTGAGGAATGTTGATGGGCCTTTACTGTAAAGTGATAATAATCACAGACCACTGAGCTAGAGGCATTTCTCCCAACCTGGAGCGCATTATTTAAGCTCAACACGCCCTGTGCAAGCATTGCGCAGCCTTTGTAGACAGAAGGGTACATAGGTTTTTCAGAACTTTCTCTTTCTGTTCACTGGAAAAAAATTATCGTTCGTTTCCGCGAAGTGAAGTCCATGCTCTAACGTTTCTCACATGGTAGTGCCAGAAATGTTAGCGTTTTTATTCTTCCGTGGAAGGTGAATTTGTTGTTGGTTGTTGTAAGATCTGCTGGGGGAATAATTATAATACATGTACAACCCTCGGAGATTGTTTACGAACGGGATGGAGTGCTATATATAAATGCTCATTATTATTATTATTATTATTATTATTATTATTATTATTATTATTATTATTATTATTATTATTGTTATTATTATTGTTATTGTTATTATTATTTATTTATTTATTAATTATTATTTTTTAAAATTTATTATTATTGTTATTTTTTAAAAACTTTATTATTTTTTTTATATCTTTGCACGGAGGGAGGGAGGGGGGGGAGTATTTCTAGCGGTCGACCTTTGGGTGAAGTAGCTGAGAGAGTCAAGGGGAGGGACAGTGTGCTACGGGTTTCTGTGGACCGCACAGAGGATTAAAAACTGGAAGTGGAGTTATCCTCGTCAATCGGCACCTGTCGAGTCCATTCCTCAACGTTAGATTTACTTATTTTGGGGCTGTTGTTGTCTTGTAAGCTAGTGATATGTTACGTAGACTGCCCCCGCTATGCAAGAGATAAAAATAGGCGAGAAGCTGGTGTAGAGTCGCCATAGGTTTGTGTACTCTAATATCTTAGGTAGTGAACTCTGACGTATTTCTGGTTCACTTTGGAACGCACCATTTGACTCAATTTAGAGCTAGGAGGGAAAGGTGCAGTGTGCATTAGACTAGATCTATAACAAGATTGGCGTTTTGCCTTTCAGTTGGGCGCCCGTGATGCCCTCACTTCGAGGCAAAGTTTTTATAGAGAGCAAAGAACCGCGGCCATGACAGTGCACGGTCTAGGATATCATAATTCTACTCTATGAGACTCGTTGGCTCTGGAACTGCTGTTTCTGAAATAGCTCTGTTGTAGAAGGTGAAATTGTGAAAGTCTTTTCTTTTGCAAGGATATGAAAAAAAAGTACACGCACACACGCTATAAACACACACACATGCGGAACCTCACATACTCGTCAATATGCACGCGGTTTTCAGACACACATACACACTCACACACACGCACGCACACATACACACGCACTCATGCATACGCACACATGCACACGCACACATGCACACACACACACATACACACATACACACACGTACGCACACACACACGTGCGCGCGCGCACACACACACACATATGGACATTATCGCACACTTAAATACACTTCTTCATACAAATCACACGCGTAGACATTCTCTCGTTCAAACTGCTACCTCCCTCGCATGTACACGCGCGCATACAAGCTCACACTCACAACACACTCGCAGGCACATAGGCGCA